TCAACCTCATTGGTGGCGAGGAGGAGGGGTTTGGCCAGTGGGGACTGGAGCTGGTTGCCCAAAGGTTTGCACCCCTGCAGTCTTGGTGGCCCCGGTGGCAGGGCAGGGGAGCCCCGGCCTCAGCTGATAAAGGCACACCCTCGCGACGGCAGCTGGGGGACAAGATGTCCCCGTGGGTGCAGGCTGCTTGCCGAGATCTCGGCGGGCACGGCTTGCGCCCCGCGAGCCAGACTGCTTCACCCAGGCTCCTCGGGGGGTTCGGGTTAATTTCCCCAACAAAATTCCACCCCTTGCAAGCGGAGGAAAGCGAACGGCACCAGCCACCCCCGGAGTTAGCAAAAGGGTCGGGCATTTGTGTTTTCACAAGGGTGTTTGTTGACTCACACCAGGGCTGGGTGTTGGAGCAGATGCCACCACCATCCTTGGGCTCCACGCAGGAGTCAACGTTTGAGCTGCAGCTGGGAGAAGGTGTTGGAAGGGGATGTCGTGGCCAAAGAGCCCCCCTGGTTTTGGGCAGGTGAAGCACAGGGTGCTGCTGCCTGGTTGGGGACACGCTGGGTAGGATGGGGGAGCCCACATGTGCCCCCAGCACCTGCTCCATCAGCAAAGCTCAGTCCCTGGAGTAGATGTGCCCTCTCCTCCTCCTCTGCACCGTGGGGGAGGTCTATCCTCCAGCTGGTGATGCTGCTGCTGCCCGAAGGATGCCCCAGCTCCTGTCCCTGTGCCATGCTGGGGTCTCATAGAATCATTCAGGTTGGGAAAGACCCTTGGGATCATCGAGTCCAACCATCTACCCTACTCTACAAATCTCCCCTACACCATATCCCCCAACATCTAAACGACTCCTAAACACATCCAAGGATGGTGACTCAACCACCTCCCTGGGCAGCCTATTCCAGTGTCTGACCACCCTTTCTGTGAAGAATTCTTTCCTAATGTTCAGTCTAAACCTACCCTGTTGGAGCTTGAAGCCGTTCCCTCTCGTTCTGTCACTAATTACCTGTGAGAAGAGACCAGCACCAACCTCTCTACAGTGTCCTTTCAAGTAGCTGTAGAGAGTGATGAGGTCTCCCCTCAGCCTCCTCTTCCTCAAACCAAACAGCCCCAGCTCCCTCCATCGCTCTCCATACGATTAGTTCGTAGGAAGCACCTCTGTGTGTCCCCGGCTGCTTCCCCAGCACCATCCCCCTCTCCGGCCAGTGCCTTTATTTGGGGGCTCAACCCCTGTCCCATGCCACCCCCCGGCACCCCGGTCCGGTGGCAGGAGAGGCAGAGGATGGAGCGGGGTGGCCCCGGTCACCTCCTTCCCCGCGGCGGGGGCCGGGGCCGGAGGAAGCTGTGGTCGGGAGCTCCTGGCTGCCAGGGCGCAGGTTTGAGTTAGTCACCACAAAATAATATTGTGATTGCTCATGCAAAACAGATCGTAAATGAGGCTTCTGGGTAGTGCTTGGGTTTTTTTGGTTTTTTTTTTTTTTTTTCCTCTATGTTATTTTTCTCCCACAGTAAAATCGGGCTCCGCTGCCTGACACCGGTCGCCGGGACCCCTGGTCCCCCCCCGTCCCAGGACACCGGCACCAGGAGCTGGAGGGACACCATGCACCCACCCCCCCCCCGAGGTGGGGAGCAGGGGGTGCTCACACGCGTGTGCGCGCAATGCAAGGGGTGCAATGGGAGGGTGGTGTGGTGCCGGGGGTGTGCGCCGGGCGGTGTGTGGAGCGGGGTGCAGGGAGAGGGCACCAGCAAGGGGGGTGTGCACAGTGCTTGGGGGGCGTGTGCGGGCTGTGTGTGTGTGCAAGGGGCTGGCTGTGTGCAAGGAGCTGTGTATAGGCATGTGTAATGCGTGTGTGTGTACAGGCAGTGTGTGCAAGGGGCTGTGTACAGGTGTATGCAATATGTGTGTGCAAGGGTCTGTGTGTGGAAGGGGCTGTGTACAGGTGTGTGCAATGTGTGTGTGTGCGAGGGTCTGTGTGTGTGGAAGGGGCTGTGTACAGGTGTGAGCAATGTGTATGTGTGCAAGGGGCTCCATGTGTGCAAGGGGCTATGTCCAGGCATGTGTAATGCTTGTGTGGGCACGCAGTGTGTGTGGAAGGGGCTGTCTACAGGTGTGTGCAATGTAGGTGTGTGCAATGTTTGTGTGTGCAAGGGTCTGTGTGTGTGGAAGGGGCTGTGTACAGGTGTGAGCAATGTGTGTGTGGAAAGGGCTGTGTATACAGGCATGTGTAATGCTTGTGTGTGCAAGGGGCTCTGTGTGTGCAAGGGGCTGTGTACAGGTGTGTGCAATGTGTGTGTGCAAGGGTCTGTGTACAGGTGTGTGCAATGTGTATGTGTGCAAGGGGCTCCATGTGTACAAGGGACTATGTACAGGCATGTGTAATGCTTGTGTGTGCACAGGCAGTGTGTGTGGAAGGGGCTGTGTACAGGTGTGTGCAATGTGTGTGTGCAAAGGTCTGCGTGTGTGCAAGGGGCTGTGTACAGGTGTAAGCAATGTGTGTGTGGAAAGGGCTGTGTATACAGGCATGTGTAATGCTTGTGTGTGCAAGGGGCTCTGTGTGTGCAAGGGACTATGTCCAGGCATGTGTAATGCGTGTGTGTGCACAGGCAGTGTGTGTGGACAGGGCTGGGTATAAGTGTGTGCAATGTGTGTGTGTACAAGGGGCTCCATGTGTGCAAGGGGCTGTGTACAGGCGTGTGTAATGCGTGTGTGTGCACAGGCAGTGTGTGGAAGGGTCTGTGTACAGGTGTGTACAAGGGGCTCCGTGTGTGCAAGGGACTATGTCCAGGCATGTGTAATGCTTGTGTGTGCACAGGCAGTGTGTGTGCACGGGACTGTGTACAGGTGTGTGCATTGTGTGTGTGTGCAAGGGGCTGTGTGTGTGCACAGGGCTGTGTACAGGTGTGTGCATTGTATGTGTGTGCAAGGGGCTGCATGTGTGCACAGGGCTGTATACATGCATGTGTAATATGTGTGTGCGCAAGGAGCTATGTACAGGCATGTGTAATGCTTGTGTGCAAGGGGCTCTGTGTGTGCAAGGGGCTGTGTACAGGTGTGTGCAATGTGTGTGTGCAAGGGGCTGTGTACAGGTGTGTGAAATGTGTGTGTGCAAGGGTCTGTGTGTGTGGAAGGGGCTGTGTACAGGTGTGAGCAATGTGTGTGTGGAAAGGGCTGTGTATACAGGCATGTGTAATGCTTGTGTGTGCAAGGGGCTCTGTGTGTGCAAGGGGCTGTGTACAGGTGTGTGCAATGTGTGTGTGCAAGGGTCTGTGTACAGGTGTGTGCAATGTGTATGTGTGCAAGGGGCTCCATGTGTACAAGGGACTATGTACAGGCATGTGTAATGCTTGTGTGTGCACAGGCAGTGTGTGTGGAAGGGGCTGTGTACAGGTGTGTGCAATGTGTGTGTGCAAAGGTCTGCGTGTGTGCAAGGGGCTGTGTACAGGTGTAAGCAATGTGTGTGTGGAAAGGGCTGTGTATACAGGCATGTGTAATGCTTGTGTGTGCAAGGGGCTCTGTGTGTGCAAGGGACTATGTCCAGGCATGTGTAATGCGTGTGTGTGCACAGGCAGTGTGTGTGGACAGGGCTGGGTATAAGTGTGTGCAATGTGTGTGTGTACAAGGGGCTCCATGTGTGCAAGGGGCTGTGTACAGGCGTGTGTAATGCGTGTGTGTGCACAGGCAGTGTGTGGAAGGGTCTGTGTACAGGTGTGTACAAGGGGCTCCGTGTGTGCAAGGGACTATGTACAGGCATGTGTAATGCTTGTGTGTGCACAGGCAGTGTGTGTGCATGGGACTGTGTACAGGTGTGTGCATTGTGTGTGTGTGCAAGGGGCTGTGTGTGTGCACAGGGCTGTGTACAGGTGTGTGCATTGTATGTGTGTGCAAGGGGCTGCATGTGTGCACAGGGCTGTATACATGCATGTGTAATATGTGTGTGCGCAAGGAGCTATGTACAGGCATGTGTAATGCTTGTGTGCAAGGGGCTGTGTGTGTGCACAGGGCTGTGTACAGGTGTGTGCATTGTATGTGTGTGCAAGGGGCTGCATGTGTGCACAGGGCTGTATACATGCATGTGTAATATGTGTGTGCGCAAGGAGCTATGTACAGGCATGTGTAATGCTTGTGTGCAAGGGGCTCTGTGTGTGCAAGGGGCTGTGTACAGGTGTGTGCAATGTGTGTGTGCAAGGGGCTGTGTACGGGTGTGTGCAATGTGTGTGCAAGGGGCTGTGTACAGGTGGGTGTAACATGTGTGTGCGCAAGGGGCTATGTACAGGCATTTGTAATGTTTGTGTGTGCAAGAGGCTGTGTACAGGTGGGTGCAATGTGTGTGTGTGCAAGGGGCTATGTACAGGTGTGTGCAATATGTGTGCAAGGCTCTGTGTGTGTGCAAGGGGCTGTGCACGGGTGTGTGTGACGCACGTATGCGCAGAGCAAGCGCATGGACATAAGTCTTGCACACAGCGCATGGTGCATGTGAGGTGTGCGCACACACGGGGGTGGGTGTGCAACGCTGCATGGGTGGGGGGGTGTGTACAGAGCCAGCACGTGCAAGGGGTGTGCGCGTGGCGCGCGGTGCGTGTGAGGCTGCCGGTGCCCAGCGCAGGGAGCGCAGCGCGAGGGGGGTTGTGCGAGGGTGTGGGCGCACGAGGGGTGTGTAAAGGAGTGTGTGTGCGCGGGGGGGTGTTGGGGCAGCCCAAGGGCCGTGCGCGGGTGTGTTTGCAGGGCGTGCGGACGCGGTGTGAGTGCAGCGGCGGGTGAGCGCACGGGGCAGGGCGGGCGGTCCGTCGGTCGGTCCGTCGGTCGGTCGGTCGGTCTCCCGGCGGCGCGGGGCGGGTCGGGGCGGGGCGCGGCGGCGCTGCGAACCCGGGGCGGGG